GCCAGCCCTTGCTGAGCCCTGGGGACAGCAGCCATTGCCAGCAGCAGGCTGGGGGGCAGGCTGGCGCTGAGGGAAGCGGTGTAAGGGGCACAAGGCCCGCGGCTGAAACCCAGCACAGCTCCCCTCACAGCCCCTGGGGCAGGAGGATGTGTACAGCCCCTAAGCCGGAGATGAGGGGAGGACGAGCACCGCCGGCACCGAGAGGGTTAAACCAGCCCCTTTACCCCCCTCAGCACACCCCCCCCGTGACCCACACAGCCGCTCCCCCTGAGGGGGAAGGCAGGAGGAGGGCGGAGGGAGAAGGCAACTCGCCGCTATCCCCCGGCTGCCGAGGCCGGAGGAGGGGAGAAGGGGATAGCACCTCACTTCTCGCTGTTGTTAACGATGACGCCGCCGCCCTCCGAGTGGTTCTTGTTGAGCGCCATCGCCGCCTCCTCCGCCTCCTCCTCCTCCTCACAGCATCGATCCCGCTCTGCGCCTGCGCGGGAAAAAAGTGCGCCGTCAATGGGACCGAGGGGCATACTGGGAGTTGTAGTCCTAGCCAAGGATGCCGTGGGTGTCTTCAGTTTCTCCGCGCAGTTCATCCTGGGAGTTGTAGTCCACCTCACACAACCCTACCACTGCGCCATTTGCCCCGCGCGGAGCATTCCGGGAGCTGTAGTCCGCCCATGCACTCTCTGTGTCGGTCACGCGATGCATGCTGGGAGTTGTAGGCCGGCCGCCATGATACTCCCCTCCCCTTTCACCGCCTCAGGGCCCGGCGCCCTGTCTCTATAACTGTGCTGTTTGTAAAATAAAAATAATCCCGGATATCTGGTGGTTCTGCTAAACCACCATGAAATGAGGTTTAGCCCCTTAAACGGCGAAGATGCTTCATTTCCCACGATTTTTTAAATTCCCACATTTCCCGTTTTGCACATTTGCAAACAGAGTTTTGATGCTGTTACTGGCTGCTTTCAGTGATGGAATCGAGCACATCCAAAAAATTATCCCTTTATATTGAAGTGTGTTAAACTAGGAGGACTAAGTGGTTGCCCTGTAAACAAGCCAGTGTCTGTGTGTCTCTTTGTCGGGAATCTGGGAACAACAAAATTGCTGTGGCATATGCAGATCTGCAGGAAGGGTCCAAACTCTGACCTCCAGGAGTGCAAGCAGAAGGAATTAAAAAAATTAATGATTGCATAGCTTCATTAAAAATAAGAACCTGCAAAACTGCTTGAAGGGCTCCCTCAGATCAATAACTGACAGGTGTATATTAATAATATACAAATAAAAGCATATATTACCCTGTATTATGTATTTTAGATCGATCTGAGCTATTTCCTAGATTTGCAGCCCAGTCCTGTCTGAGAACCAGACGCGGGTGGGGGGGAAAGCACAAAAACGACATAATGGAAACCAGATTTAAATAAATGCAGTGACATAATCTGTGTGGTTTCTTGGCAGGAAAAGAACAAGTTTGTGCTTTTCATATCCGCTTTTTCAATAAGCAGTAAGTTTCCCTTTTAAGAAACAGCCATAACAAACAGTTCTGATTCTTCTCCTATTAAAGTCAGGAGCAGAATCCACTCAGCTCCCACCGAAACACCCAGATGGAGCATTGGCACCTTACATGAACTAAGGCTCACCAAAATAACATTTTTATCCTAACTCCAATTGACATTTGGGATTAAGAAAAGCAGCCTTCACTTAAAAAAGATGCTGCTGTAATTGCCAGTGTGTGTGTGAAGCTCTAGACCTCCTCATCACATAAAAAACCTAGGAAATTTATACTCTAAAACTTAAAAACACTAAGGAAAAATACCTAATCTGATAATCTTTTTTATTTTTAGGATGAGGACAGACATAGCAGAGAGAACTGAGCCAATTCATTGTTTTGAATTGCCCAGGGCTGACAATTATTATTGGATTTTGAAGTTCTTCTCCTGCTTTTGCAATAAAAATGTGAATGTGGCAGAATTCCCTTGGACACACTTGGAAAATAAAATCTGTGTTATTTTATTCCAGATGTACAGGACACAGAAAAGTAAACATAAGATAATGGGACAAGTCAAAGGGTTTGGTATTTAAAGGAAAGACAACCCAGGGCAATGACTGTATCATATTTAATGGTCAAATCATATTCTCTAACACCATTACATGATTCTGTTACAGTTTTTTTTCACACACTGTAAAACACCCTACAGTTACTGTATTTAAAAAATCCTAATTAAAAAGAGGAACATTCTGTGACAGCAGAAATAACCCAAGGGAACAAGGAAAGGCTGTTTAAATTGCCAAGTGCTATTGATCCATCTCAACTCATCTCACCCTGCTTTTAACCCTTTGTTAAATCAGGGATGCAGAGCTGGCACAGTGCACACTCTGATCGTTCCACTTCACAAATCCCTGGCAGCACAGAGCAAACTCTGACCCAGCTCCTGAGGGAATTGCTCATCTTTTAAACCATCCCTGAAGCAGGAGGGTTTTTAGCAGCCCCAACCAGGAGAAAAGCAAGCAGCAGGGAAGAGAGGCTTGGGCAGCACCTCCCAAATGTGGCACATCCACAGGAGCCCCCTGGATGCTCCATGGAGCTGATCCATGAATCCCCCAAAGCAGCAGCACAACCCCACACCACGCCAGACACCCCAGGGGCCTCTGGAGCTGCTCCCAGGTGGTGGCAGGGTGGAAGGAGAGGATCCCTTTGGGCCTCCCAAGCCCTGAGGGAGGTCAGAGGTTTGTGCCTGTGCCTTGGGAAAGTGGAGGAGGGTGGGATGAGTAGCTCCAGCGTGGGTTTCCCCTCGGAGCAATCAATCCACCTACAGTGAAACCAAACAGGGCAAGGACCCAGATCTGCTGTGTTTACTCTGGCGAAACTCCTCGCTGCAAACTGTGGGAGTTTCGCCTGAATAAATGAGATTTGGGGCGCAGACGTGGGAGATCTCATCCTGCAGAGAAGAATGTTCCTTCCCTTCCCTGTGCTGCCAGGATGTGACCATGCACAGGAGCACAGCCCTGCCTTTCTCCTGCCACCAGGAGCTCCTGCCACCGCGTTCTGCCACCCCTGGGCAGAGCAGCCTGCTCTGTGTCACCCGTGCTGACATCCCATGCAAGGGCTGAGCTCTGGCGCCAGCCAAACAAAGAGGGTTTGGAGCTCAGGACGCAGGGAATGAATTCCCATCCGGACAGAAGTCTGGGCAGTGTTCCCACCAGCCAGGAAAGGCCAAGATTTCAGCTGAAGATTTCATTCTGGAAGCCCCACTGTTCCTTTTCACGCTGCTTGCTGAGTTTGGGAGTCACCTCATGCAGGGGAGGAGGAGGAGGAGGAATTTGCAGACAGATCCCAGCAAGCCCCTTCCCAAACTGACTCACCAGCCTTGCCCCAGGAAAGGGGTGGCTGCATTCAGACCTTTCATCCACTAAAATATCCTAATTTTCAGGGCATTGGCAGCTCTTTCTGCACCAGCAGAAGCTGGCAGCCCTGGCAAAGGAGTCACAGTTAAGGAGCTCTTTGAGCCTCAGAATGTAAACGTGGCTTTAACTTCAAACCTCCCAGCTTTGTGCCTGCATTTCATTCACATTCACATTTTTCCCTTGGCTCCCCTGGAATATAGCACTATGATTTCCAGCTTATCCTTTGGGGAAAATATATATATATATATCTCATATATTTAGCTGAATGGGTTATTATTCCTGCTGGTTGTTGCATCATCCCTGACTCACTCATGCCACTGAAGAACCTGACCCTCTGTATTTTCTCTCCAGGTGTACATTACACAGCACCACGGTTCTGTAAAGCAAGCTTTGGGAGGTAGGTAGCAAAATAACCCCAAAAAAAATAAACTTTGGAAAGGCACGCTGTGCTGAGACAGGGGCTGCTCTGTGCTGCCCTCACAGGCAGTTATTTCTGTGTTTTCTTTCTGAAAAAGCTCCCTTAGGACATGTGAACTGGCAGTTTTGTCTCTCAGCCTCGAGTTTCCACCTTTCCTAAAGGGAACAGTGTTCCCTCTCGCCTGAGAGTAGTTTTTGTTAATTGTTACTTATTCCCAGAGTCCAAAGGGTCATTTAGTAGCTAAATGATGCTTTAAAGGTGCCACCTTAGAGATGCCTCGGTAAAGGTGCCACCTTTAAGGAGGCACTCACAGTTGTTCTAGAACACTAAACCAGACCATTTATCTCTGGGACATATTCACAGCACCGCTGTCACTTAAAAATCTCTAAGCTAAGGGGCAGATTTTCAGCTCAAGTGTGCCCAGGGTTGGTGTTTAACAGTACTAAAATCCCCCAGACAGTAATGTCATCAAAAACATGGGGGAAAATTTGGCTGTAAAGCTTTGCTAAGAATTGCTAAGAATTCCAAAGAATGTGTTTACTTCGAGCACGTCCTCAAAACTTGGTTTGTGCTGTTCCCTCCCTCACCTCCAGGTGGGAACAGTGCTGCTGCCGGAGGTTTCTCCCTTTCCCAGTCGGACAGCGATCCTTGTTTCACATTTGCAGCACTGATGGGTGGGCAGCCCTGCAAGGAGAGGGTGCTGCATTGCCCCAGCACCACCCCAGCACCACCCCGGCACTAGGCTCCTCCACATCCCTCTCCCTGGAGCACCATCTCGCCCATGCCAGGGCACAGAGGTGATGGGAAGGGACCATGTCTCCTTTGGGGGTTCACCTGGTCCACACAGGGCTTGCTCCATCAAAGGCACTTCGTGAGGAGCATGCAGAAGGTGACAATGAGGCAGCACTTAAAAAAGCATCAGGACCAGAGCCTGAGATAAGGCACAAAGCATCCGCACAAGTCGCCGAGGCAGAGCGAGCAGAGGTGGAGCAGAGGGACTGGGCAGGTGGCCAGGGCACAGCTCCAAATCCATGTGGCACTCGTGAACAGCACACTTTACCAAGAAAGGCTGTGGCAGTCCCTGATGTCCAGAAAGGGAAGCTGAGGAGCAGCAGGGAGCAGCACAGGGACAGGCCCGAGCTCGCTCAGGGGCAGAGCTGGCACTCGGATCCAGCCCCATCCTGGCCCCCAGCCCTGCCCATCAGGAGCCCCCATCCAGCCCTGGCTCCCCAGCAGTGCAGAGAGGAGGGAGGGCTGCCACAGAGACAGACAGGGCTACCAAGGAGAGCTGGCAATAACCTGCAGGAGAGATTTCTGTGGGTCTGTCCGTGCCCCTGTGCCCGGGCAGTCACCGGCGCTTCAGCACCGACACGCAATCCTTCTTCAGCGGCCCGATCTGCAGGTGGGCGTCCACGCTCTCCAGGAAGAAGGCTGGCTTCAGCTTGCACGAGAACAGAGAGGCAAACTGCCGGTTGATCTTGTTCTGGAACGGGTCAAGCTTCCCCTTGGCAGAAGGGGAGACCTTGAGCTGCTTCAGGCAGGTCATTTTGGAGTCCTTGACTCCGTAGAAGGTCAAAGCCTTCTCGGAATACTCCAGGAAGACGCCGATGGTGTGGAAGAAGGGCTGCTGGATGGGGCACTCGAAGCCACCAAACCAGGCCACGTAGTTCTGGCCGTTCCACTGCAGGCAGCAGGAGCTGTCGTTCCTGCCCAGGCGCCCGTGGCTGTAGGCCTCCCGTGGGTCGAAATCCTCGGCGATGACCCCGATGCTGACCCAGCCATCGATCAGCTCCACCTCCCAGTAGTAGTTGCCCCTGTTCATGAGGTTCAAGCCCAGCACCTGCTCGCAGTTGATGAAGCGGGTGTGGCTCTCTGGGTAGGGGATGGGGCACAGCACCCGCTTGGCCCCCTTGGTGCCGAACAGCTGGATGAATTTGTCAGCTGTGTCACTGTCCAGGTCGATGATGAAGGCAACTGTGAGGGGTAAGAGGGAGAAGTGAGCATGTGGAGGGAAGTGCAAGGAAATCCTCCCTGTCGCAGCCTTTAATGATGAGCATGATCCTTTCCCATCCCTCTGTCCCCTTGCTTTAAATCCCATGGCAAATTTCAGGCTGAATTTTCAAGGCTGAAAGAGCTGATACTCGCATGAACAGGATGGATACAGGTAACTGGGAAGAGGGGCTGCTTGATGAGCTCAACTGTGATACCACACATTGGAGAATCCACCTGACAGACTGGTGGTAAGGAAATGGCACATAAAAGCATATTTCAGGTAACCACAGATAAATGTAGTCGAGAGAGACCCCGAGAAGAGAGAACAGCCAGGTATGCCACAGCTTCAAACAGGCAGCTCCCAGCCAGTGTGGCCTTGGGTAATGTGAGAGCCACTGACGGATCCCAAACAGAGGGGATGCCCAAGGAAGTTCTTCCAGGGAACAACCCTGGGCATGGATCACATCAACTGCATTGCAGTCTGAACCATGGCATGGCCCAGTCTGACAGCAGAAGAGCACACCCTCCTTGAGCCCAATTCTGCTGCTCGGTGGCACTGAGGCAGACCTTGTCCCCCAAGGACACGTCAGTAGGTGACCCCATGTCCCCTGTAAGGCTGGGGACACACAGGTGGGGTGTGGGAGCTCAAGCCCAGCCCTGCACCCTCCAGCCTCAGCCTCTCCTGCCCCACTCTGCTCCACCCCTGTGTGATCCCTGCCATTCTGCTGCTGCAGACAACCCTCACCAGCCCAGGGTCCTGCAGCAAACAAGGCAGACAAACACAACACACAAACTCTGGTCTAATTTAAAGAGGATCCAATTTGCCAAGGGCTGGGAAGCAGCAGGAGTTACACAGGATGCTGGCAGCGCCCCTGGGGCAGCTGGGCCAGCAGAACCACAGACAAGGGAAAAAATCCATCAGCTAACCAGGCTCTGGCTGCTGTCAGGAAAGCCAGGAGACCTCCCTGTTAGGCAAGCAGAATTTCCTCTGCTGGTGGCAGAGCTCCCACACGCGCTGGATCAGCGCCGGGCAGGCGGGAAGGAGAGAGGAAAGGGAAGATGGGCCTTAGCAACAACCCAAAGCAGAAGTCCCCATCAAAATAAATAAAATACCACCAAATCCATGAAGAAAAAGGTGAAGAAAAAGGACTAGTCACTGACTTAAAACCTCCATCTTAGCTTTATATATATGACTATATTCTAAAACCTTAAACTCTAATTTAACTCTAAAAACTCTTTTTTTATTATGTGATGTTACACACTTCTATTGAAACTACACACCCCTAATCCTAGTTCTATTATTTAAATTTGGAAACCTTTCTCTACAACCTCAAGTTAAATGTAGAGTTCTCTTGAGGGTCTGTGCCTTTCAGCACAGAAAGCCCAAAACTCTCAGTGTGCAGGGTTCCCACACCCCACTTACATTTCAAGAAATAATCACGGCTCTCCAGGCAGGCAGCGTTGTTTGACTTGTCTGGAAATTGGGTTTCAGCCAACGCTGCAGAGACAGGGACAGAAGGGTTTGCATCAGCAAAGGAACCAAACCACCACCAAGGGGCACCTGGAGCATTGTCCCCTGCCCCTGATGGCACCCAGCTGTCACAGCCCCTGCCAGCGTCCCACACCCCCTGCACATCCCCTGTGGCTCCCACACAGGAAAGGACAGACACCACTTTTGTCACCCCAGGGAGGTGGGCAGTGGGGCAAGGAACCAGCTGCAGTTCCCATGGGCATCCCAGAGAATGAGAAAGGAGAGAGCTCAGGTTCAATGGGACAGCAAGGGAGAGAGCTGCCACATCAGCTCTCTAACCCTGGCATGTTTGGGAGCCCACAGTGTGCCAGTGAGGAGATCTGTCTGTCCTGGGAAGAAGAGTCCCCTTTCACAGGAGGCCACTTTGGCCCCTTGCCCCCTCCCACAGGCCCTGCCTAACTCCCAGGCTGTTTGTTGCCTCTCCAGTCTCCAGTCTCCGTGGAAAAATTCACAAAACCTCAGAGGCGTAAGCCCAGACAGGGATTGTGCAACGTGCAGGGAACCCGTGCTGAGCAGCTTGCAGGGCTGGGAGGACAGGGGCCAGCACTCACAGGGCCATGCAGCCACCTCCCACCCACAGAGGGAAAAGGGAAAGGGACAGGGAACCACCCAGGCAGAGGGGCTGGGGGAACACAAACCTTCCTCCATCTCCTGGCAACTCAATCCATCAACTCCTTTCCCCTGCAAGTGGTTCCACTGGTTTTTGCAGGCGGTGGACAGCACATCCTTCATGGCACCCACGGCTTGGGTGCACTTGGTGAAGTTCAGCTCTTTCTGGAAGCTCAGAGGTGGAGAGAGGTTTTCCTCCATGGCTGCTTTCAAGGCCTGAAATTCCTGAGCCAAAAAAAGATGGAGTTTCAGGAGGTTTCAGACAAGCCAAAGTTGTCTCTTGTTCCAGGACCCCACCCGGCCCTGGAGGATTTGGGATCTGGCAGCTCTGAGGACTTGGCCCAAGGACAGCAGAAGGGAGGAGAGCTCTTTCCCAGCCACGTGTTCCTGGCACCTTCTCCTCACTCCCTTTCAAACCCAGACTCAGAGCATGCCCACCTCGCAGGGAACAGCATCTCCTCCCTAAAATGTCTCCTCTTGCTGGGCTCCCAGGGAGGAAGCAGTGGGGCACCCCAAACTCTTGCTCTCCCCCACACCCAGGTACCCCCTTGGGCAGCACATCAGCCTGTCCTGTCAGACAGGACAGAAGTGGTGGTGATGGAGGGGGAAATCTTGGCTGGTTGGTCCCCCTGGGAGAGGGCAGGGGAGAGGACTGTGCCAGTGAGACCCAGCAGCCTGCACATCCCAGGGTTCCTGGCCCCCAGCTCCATGGGAAATAGGACAAAAGCCCAAAATAAAACATTGTCAGCTCCTTCTTGCCCCATCCCACCTGGAGGAAGTAGATGGTGTCGGTGCTGGGCACGTTCTCCAGGCTCTGCTTGCACTGTGCCAGCTTGGCTCGTCTCTGCTCCTTCCAGCGCAGATCGGCCTCGGCCTCCCCCAGCATGGAGCGCTCCCCGTCCTCGATGAATCCCAGCACCTCCTTCTGGAAGGCTGCCAGCACCCCTGAGGCCTCTGCAAAGAGCTTCTCAACCCTTTCCCTCTCCTTTGTGGCAGCACCCTGAGTGCAGGGAGAGAGGGGTCAGGTGAGGGTGCAGGAGAGCCACACTTGTGCCCTGCCCAGCTCCCAGCTCCCAGCTCCCTGGAATCCCCTGACACTCCATCACCCCCTTCACCCAGGAACTCAGATCACTTCACAGTGCAGCTCTCAAGAGACCTGGCTGGGCAGTGCCACTTACTGCTGCACCACATTTGGTGTCCCCAAGCAGGAAAGTGTTTGCACAAGGGCCAAAGGGACAATCCCCCAATGAGCCTGGGGAGAGAAGGTGCAAGAGCCAGAGGATGTCCAGGCATGGACCTTGCCCTGTTCCTTCTTCCATTTAAAAACTAAAGCAACCAGAGATGCCAGGAGTGTTAGCAGAGATGAGGAGAAAGAATCCTCAGGGGTCTTTGCCAGGATCACCATTGTTTCATGGTGCTCCAGTGAGCACCATCTTTACAGCCCATGCACCCCAAAATCTCACAGCCCCTTCTCCTCCACGCCCAGCCCAGCAGAGCTGCACCACCAGAGCAAAGGCATTGCAGAGTCACCTTGATGAGCTCCACCATCTTCTTGGCCTGGGTGATGGTGACTGCCAGCTCCTCCAGCTCATTCTCTGCATCGCTCAGGAATTTGGCTTGCTGGGCCTGCAGACATGAAGGACAAACACTGAGCTTTACCCCCAGTGCCAGTGGGAGCCCAGGGCATTCAGCCTCTCCCTCAGTTCGATCCACAGAGCCTCTCTGACCGTGACCTCGCTACCAGGCTTTGGGTGAAGAATGCAAGGGGAACCACGAGTTGTTTTCCTGTTTTCCTTCCCTGCAACATTCAACCTGCAAACATCCCTTCTCACTCAGCTGGAAAACGAAAGGGTCATGTCCAGTTCCATTTCTCCACCCTGGTCCCAGCGGAAACCAAACAAAACAGGAATTTGAAAGCAAACCCATCAGGCAGTGATTGCAGCTAAAACTGCTCTTAGTGAGAACACAGGGCTGGGAAAAATCCACCTGGGTTTGGTGCAGAAGCTGAAAGACAGGCCTGGAGCACTCAGAAACTCAGCACAGAGTCCCCTGGAGGTTTCTGTTTAGGAGCAAAGCAAACCAGCTCCGGAGCACGGGCTGCAAAGGAAGCACCTTCCGAGCACGGCGTTTCCTGAGACGCTATTGTTGGCTCATCCATTGCCCATCACGAGGACGGGTCCCTCGGGAGCCGGGAGGGCGCTCCCCAGCCAGAGAGCTCCCTGCTGATGCTCAGTGCCCCTGTTCCCGGGAAGCAGCTCCAGGGGCTTTCCCTGCGCATCCATCCCAGCCCGCAGCCCAGGGCGGCGGCCGAGGGCAGGCACAGAGGTCCTGCAGGCGACATTAAGCAGCGCCTGCTGAGGTCTGACAGCTCCTCAGGGCGGGGATTACGCACACTTTCTATTTTAAGGTGCCCCATGACTAATAATGCCGATAAAAGGGTTTTCCTGCAATCCTAGCAGCCCATCAGGAGGGGGAGCTGGCTTGGGGCTGGGCTACTCCTTGGAAAAGACAAACTCTCCCAAGCTCTCCAAATGCCTCATGGCCATGCGAGATGCCACCCCACCGTGAGCCTCACAGGTTCCCACCGGCCTGCAGCCCCACACTTTCAACGCAGCAGTGCCCACGAAGGCAGCACCACGTTGGGACTGGAGCCCCGGCTCCTGGGAAGGCTGTGGGTGTGAGTTTAGGAGGTGACTCAGTGGCATCTGGGAACGGGAGTGATGGAAAAACCCCCGCTGCCAAAACGGCAGGACACAAAAGGCTGGG